GCCAGGAGCAGGGGCCGAGGCAGCAGGAGCTGGGGGCGATGGAGCATGAGGAGGAGGAGGAGGCGCAGCAGCAGGGGCAAGGCCCTCGGGAGGCAGTGCCTGACGGGGAGCCACATGCACCGGCGCGGCTCGCAGCGAACTACTCTGGCTTTGCGCCGCCCGCTCCTCGCGCAGCGCCCTCGACACTTCCCGCAGAAGATCAGCCACGGTCACGGGCGGGCGGTATGCCCCACCACCACCACGCTCGCGGGGACCCCTCCAGCCCCCATTGCCACCAGGGTGGCCAGACCACTGGGCCTGCTGCTGGTAGCGCCGAGGAGAGTTTCGGCGAATCTGCGACGACTCGCGCTCCTGTTGAGGCACGGGAGAATGGGGTCGGGACTGGCGGCGGTCTGGCGACGGAGGACGAGACGTCTGCGCCACCGGGCCCGCCTGCAGCACAACAGGAGCAGTCGAGTCCACGGCCGGAGGCGCGACCATCGGGGCAGGGCCGCCAGTGGTGGCGGACGCCGCCTTCGGTGACGAAGCAGATTCCGGCGCAGGCACGCCGGAAACAGAAGCGGCCGGAACAGCGGGCGCACCAGGGACAGACGCAGGGTGAGCAGCAAACCCCCCAAGGGGAGCAGGCGCAACCGGCGCAGCAGAGGGAACGAGGGGAACAGGAGCAGCATCGGGAGCGGACACGCCAAGTGGTGCCGCGAGGTTCAGAACCTCTGGCGGCGGGACAGCAGGAGCAGACTTCCCCTCGGGAGGAGGCGCCTCAACAGTCGCGGGAGCCAGGGCAGCGGGAGGAGCAGGCAACGGTGCGTGATGCGGCGACATCTCCGCAGCCGCCCGCGCAGATGCCGATACAACCAGAGGAGCAGCCACAGCAGACGCCGCGACAAAGGGCAGTGGCGGATAATGCATCTCGTCACCTAGCGCCACAGGCATCTCGGGCCGGACGAGGCGGAGGTCGCAGAGGCACAGCGGGACAGGGAGGAGGACCCGAGAACGGTTTCCAGAGAGCGGCAGGGCGGGCTTTAAGACGGGCTAATAACGAGGAGGCGAGGGACCCTACTTATATAGCACAAGCAGCAGCTGAATCAACAACGGAGGAATCAGGAGGGGTTGACGAGGAGGAAGCAGAAGGACATCGCCGAGCAAACCCAACACCAAGCCGGGCCTCAAGCAGGCCACCCTCGGGTGGGGGGGAGCAGGACTCACTGGCACCGGACACCACCGCGCCGCCCCCACAAACCCGCCAATTCTCGCCTGAGCAACTGGCGAGGGACGATGGGCGGTTCGACGAAATTGTAAATTGGGATCTGTCCCCCCTACGCAACAGTCGTCAGCCCCCACTGTCGCGAAAGCTCCCCGCTGACATTCACCCCCTTTTCGCATCGGTCCTTCTGACACCACTGCTCCGCCTCGCGCGTTACCCTGACTCTATCGCAAGATGGCGTCTGTTACTTTTTCTCCCGCGCCTAACACTACGCTTGCCCTCAACGGAGAAGCCCGATTGGCCAGCTGTGAAGCAGCGACTGCGCCAATTTCTCAAGGGCGAATGGACGCAGCTCTACGAGTCCGCAGCAGCCGCGATCAATGGGCCACAACCGCCACGTCACACACCTGACGACCAGGGCAGGCGCGCCAGAGCAGAGGGCCTCACATGCAAGGGAAGCTTACAAAGAGCGATCCTTGCCCTGGAGTCAACTCCGGTCGCTGACCCATCAGCTGACACGCTGGCAGCCCTCAAAGCCAAGCACCCCCAAGTGCCAGCTGGACTCATCGATTGGACCATCCCCGGTACAGAGCAGCCCGCCTCCATTGACATGGGCGCATTCGTAAAAATATTATGACGGTGTGAAAATGGAGTGGGAGGCGGACCTTCTGGAATGACCTTTGAGCACCTGAGGGACGCTGCCATCGCAAACAGTGGGGTTACCACACACCTGCACGCGCTCGTCAACACAATCCTAAAGGGCAATCTCCCAGACGAGATCTGCTCGCTCCTTACCGCCTCGCGCCTCATCGCCTTAGCTAAGCCTGGGGGAGGCACTCGCCCCATCGCAGTAGGCGAGTGCATCTTACGCATCGCCGCGAAATCTGCACTCGCGTCGTTATCGGAAGCATGCCGGGCCCACTTCCTCCCACTCCAGTACTGCGTATCGGTCCAGGGCGGCAGTGAGGCGATCATTCACGCCGCAAGAACCTTCACACACGCGAATCCAGATGCGCTGATTCTACAGGCGGATTTAGCGAACACCTTCAACTCCATTAGCCGCGCAGCAATAGTAGACGCACTACGAGGCTCGGCGATGCAGGGCATTATTCCGCTCACCGGGATATCGTACGGCAAACCAGCCCAGCTTTTCCTAGATGCTGGGTTTGAATGCGAGCCGCTCATCAGCGAGACCGGTGTGCGTCAAGGGGATCCGCTTGGCCCGCTACTCTTCGCCGCCGGGATTCATCCCGCCCTTACCAAAACTGCAGCGGCCTTCCCCTCCGTGATGTGCCTGGCCTTTGCTGACGACGTTACATTCTTGGGCGAGCCACTGGACTGTTCGAAGGCCTTCTGCCACTTCACAGAGGGCCTGCACGATGTGGGGTTGCGCCACAACCCAGAGAAATGTGCGGCATGGAGTGCAGCGGCGATCGATCCTCAGGTGCTGCCGCAGGGGGTCCCATTCTGTGAGGAGGGCCTGCGGGTGTTGGGGAGTTTCATCGGATCATAGGAAGGTGCAGCGGCTTTCCTACGCTCGCAACTCGAGTCCATGTCTACCCCACTGCTGCACCTCTCAAAAATGGACCCCTAAGTAACCTCACTGCTACTGACGCGATGCATCTCCAGGCGCATATCCTACCTCGCCCGCACAACCCCACTCTACCTGTTGCCCGAAGCGGAATGGACCAGGTGGGGCCGGGCCCTGCTACACGCCCTACTTGATGCATGTGGGGTGTGCCACCCACAGGAAGAGTCGGAGGCCGCGCAGATATGGGACCAGGCATCACTCCCGCCAAGCCTAGGAGGGCTAAGCCTTGCAGACCTAGTGGTGGAGGGTCGGTACAGCTTCCTGGCCAGCCTCGTACAAGCGCACTCCCTCCTCAGCCCCCTCTCGGGCCCGGCGGGGTCTCACCTCACGGCAGTACTACACAGCCCTGAAGCGGCGGACACGAGCCCGAACGAACTGCAGAGGTGGATCAACGACTGCAGAGAGAGCCTAACACAGGAAGCAAGGGACCTGATTGCCTCCGAACTAGCCAAGCCCGCAGGCCAACTTCAACACCGACTGGCACTGATAGTCCAAGGCAGTAGGAGTGCCGCGCAGATCATTGCCTCTAGACAACTGGAGCTGAACCCCCTGGCGGGCCACACACAGCGCCTCATCTCACTCACGGGCTACGGGGCAGGGGACTGGCTACTCGCCATCCCCTACATGCCCGCCCTACGGCTCTGCCCCGAACACTTCACCTTCGCCCTCCAGTTCCGGCTCGGCCTGCCCATGTCCGTGCCCAAGTGCTATGACTGTGACAAGCGGGTTGCTATCCTTGACAAGAGGCTGCCGAACCACCTGCTGCGCTGCGGTACGGGACACGGTCAGACCAACACTCACAACGAGCTCCGCGACGAGTGCATCCGCATGGCGCAGGATGCCGGGTTCGCGGTACACAAGGAGTGCACTGCCTTCAGCCCGGTGGATAACAAGAAGGCCGATTTGGCCTTCCGGGATCGGACCTCGGGGGCGGTATGGCTGGCGGACGTAACGATCACCGACCCCATCAGCAAACGTGATGAGAGGGCAAGGAAGGGGAGGGGCTGGGCAGCGCGGGAGCAAGCAGACAAGAAGATAGGGCTTTACCAGGGCAGGGCAGACTTCGCGGGGTTCTTCCCCTTAGCAGTAGAGACCTACGGCTGCCCCTGCGAGGAAGTACCGACCTTCCTCAAGCTCCTAGCTGACACGGCAGCGAGGAAGCTCTTTAATGCGGACCCCTCTACCTACCAGGCCGCTAAGATGCTTCATCAATTCCGCCAGCGGTGGTCGGTGGCCCTGCAAAGAGCACAGGCGGTTAGCTTCCTCATGAAGCTGAACCTTGCAGCACAGGCGGAAAACCCCCCCTTAGGAGGGCCCGAGGGGGAGCTGAACCCAGGGGACTGTTTTGCAACACTTGAGCCCCCGCAGGGGGGCTGCTAGGGGGCATGGGTAGTCACTCACATGTTTGTTTCTGTTTTGTGATAACTATACTCGTTGTACTGCATGTTATATCAATGGAGGACCGTTTGAGAGAGAGAGAGAGAGAGAGAGAGAGAGAGAGAGAGAGAGAGAGAGAGAGAGAGAGAGAGAGAGAGATGGCATAGCTTAGTCCTTAGCCATTTCTAGGCCCCTCTTCTCTAGGATCTAGTCCTTAGCCATTTCTAGGCATGTTTCCTTAGTATAAAGGCCCTGGATCTAGGCTAGTGAGCTCATTATTCACTGGTGAGTTAGGATCACTCTCCAAATCCGGCGGCTAGCGCCGGCCGCCTTCGGCGGCCGCCGCTCGCCAGCGCGTCCTTCGGCCGCGCGTGAGGGGTGGCAAGGGTAGCAGCAACACAAGTCCTATAGCAGCATGTGGTACATCAAGAGCCACTAGTAGGGCAGAACAACAACACCACCCCCAGGCGAGGGAATCCCGCCATGGGGAAGCCCAAGGCAAGGCCCAGCACCACCGGAGCCTCCAAGGGAAAAACAACAGTCACTCGGCGAGGATCCAGCACAACCTCCCGTCCATCCAACGTAGGACGGAAGCGGCAGCTGACACAAGGCCGAGGGGGTCCTCCTGGGCAGACTCAGCTAGCCTCACCATTGCCCGGGGTCCGGGCCCGAGCGCTGCACCAGGGGCGCCCGGCACGAGGCTGATCAAAGGAAGATAGTGCAGCATTTCCGTCGCTGCAGCCACCGCCGCAGAGCGCTCAGCGGGCAACATCCCGTCAACCTCCAAGCCTTGTCGTGCCAAACACACGTGGAGCTGGTCCAGTACGTATGACAGCAGCGTCAAACACGTCCCCACGTGCACAACGCGCTGCTCGACGAGGGGAGGCAGCGCACCTGCAGGAGCGGCACCAAGAGGAGCAGACGGGACAGGAGGGTTTGGCGGCGTTGGAGGAGGCGGCGGCTGATGCAGTTGAGGCCGGGGCAGAGGAAACTGATTTACGGGGGGATGTCGCTGCTGCGGGGTCAGGTTTGACGCGGCGGGGGGAGCAGGGTGCTGCGGCAGAGGCGGATCCGACGGGGACGGGGCGGGAGGCGCACTCGCCTGCTGCTGTGCCTGCAGCCGCCTCTGACGACGACTCAACCTCGCCCGCTGCGGGGCCGACGGCGCCACCAGCGGACGAGGTTGTGGCTGCGGAGGAGGCGCATGTGGAGCATGGGTCGGCTGACTCACCGGCGCCATTGGTGGCGGTGTCCCCATCACCTCTCGGGGAGGTGGAGATTGCGGCGGTCGCAGCTGAGGCAGCGAGGCAACCAGAACAACCCCGAACGAACCGTTTGCGCCAACTGCCGCTGAGTCCGCCGGAATGTCTGCTGCTGCCGCGGCCGTAAACATGCGGGAGTGCGGCCAGGCGGCGGACGGAATTGAGGGTCCCGTGATCGGCGCTGCTTCTGGCGCCGCACCGGCAAGGAAGAAGGTGAAGCTACGCACCCAGCCAGCGCCGAGGCGGCCCGGAGCAGGGCTGGGGCCTGGGGTCCCGGGACCCCTCCTGGGCTGGCTTCCGCAAGGGCAGTCGCCACCAGAGCAAGCGCGTTTGTTGTCATCCGCACCACAGCCTGCAATGGGTACCGGCGGGAGGGGTAACACGGAGGCAGCTGACCTTTGTCCATCACGGAGATTGGGTCCCCCCGCCCCCAGCGTCAAAATATCTGGTGGCACTAGAGGACGGGCTGCCGACAGAGGCACGGACAGCACTACAAACCTACCGGGAAGGCCCCCAGGGGCAGGGTAACCTGCAGCTCCTCTTGTCCAAGCACATCAACTCGGTACAGGCCAGGGAGCTGCTAGCCGACACTATGGTCGACAGACCGGGGGAAGACCAGGGGCACGGGGTACGGCTAGTGAGTTTGAAGGGAGTGGGGGCCGGGGATTGGCTTCACGCAGTGCCGACGGAAACCTTACATTTGCCCCTGGTCAGTTCTCATTGGCACTCGGTTTCCGCCTCGGGATGGCCCTACCAGTCACGGTCAAATGTCCCTGCAAACGTGACAACTCGGAAATCAAGGATACTAGCCTGGCAAATCACCTGCTCCGTTGTGGGGAAGGGGGGGACGTGGTGAGGACGCATAACGCCCTGGTCTACACGGCTTTGAGATTGGCGAGGGAGGTGGGTTTCAACACCTTCCATGAGACATCGGTGTTTCCCCCCCCGGTCCACCGCAAGAGGGCAGACCTGGCGTTCCAGGATAGGGAATCAGCGGAGACCTGGGTCACGGATGTAACGTTGACCGACCCAGTGCTGCAGAAGCGGGACCCCAGGGTGCAGAAGCCACCGGGGTGGGCTGCCAAGGAAGCTTTTGAGAAGAAGCACCGCCTGTATGATGGCCGCCCTGACTATGTGGGGTGTTTCGGCCTAGCAGCCGAGACCTACGGGGCGCTGGCGACCGATACTGTGCAGTTTCTTAGGCTGCTAGCTTTGGCCACAGCGAGGAAGAAATTCAGGCAGGGGCCGCTCACCACCACCGCCTCTCGCCTCAATGCTCACTACCGCCAACGCTGGTCATTCATGCTGCAGCGATCCCAGGCGATCTTGTTCCTTAACAAGAGCAACATGGCAGCCGAGGCAGCCTTTCCCCAAGCACCTGCCCCTAGTATATAGTCCTTAGATGCACCCTTTTGAGCTCATTCTTCACTGGTGAGTTCAGTTTACTCCCCAAAACCGCCGTCTGCTCCGCTGGCTGCATTGCCCCGATCTGCACCTCCTGCTGCACCAGAGTCACGTGAAGCTGGTCTAGCACGTACGACAAGAGCGTCAAGCAAGTCCCCACGTGCATCACGCGCTGCTCGACGAGAGTTGGAGGCTGACCAGGAACCACGGCTTGAGGGGGCGGCGGGGCAGGAGGCGTTACTGGAACCCATGGGTGCTGCACAGGGGGGCCTTGGAATGAGTACTGATGGAATGACGAGGGGCCCGACACAGACTGAGGGACCTGAGCGGGCGGAGGAGGGGACGGAGGAACATGGTACACCGAGGAGCAATGCTGCTGCGGATGGAGGGGCAAAGGAAACCGACGGAGCGGAGATTGAGCTGGAGGCGGCTGCGCCGCCCGCGGTGGCGGCTGGTGAGGAGTCTGGAGTCGCGGCTGCTGGAGTGCCTGCGGTCCTGGTGTCTGCTGGCGCCTCTGCCGCTGCCTTTGACGCCGGCTCAGTTTCGCCCTCTGCCACCCCGCAGGCTGCACAGGCGGAGGCTGAGGGGACGAGGCTGGGCGCGATTCCGGAACAGACTGCGGAGGCGGCGCTATCCCCGTCACCGGCGCCGGTGACGCCGGCCGTGCTGGCGGCGGCGGTGTCTGCTGCGACTGGGGTGCGAGGCGACGCCCCAACGGCGGAAGGCGCGACGACTGCCGCTGCGAACGTCGGAATGCCTGCTGCTGCCGCGGCCTCAAGGAGGCAGGAGCACGTCCAGGCTGAGGGAGAGACTCCGAGGCCCCCGAACGGCGCCGCCTCCGGCGCTGCACGAGTGATGTCGACGAGGAAGCCGCGGGCCCAGCCAGCGCCGAGACGGCTCGGAGCAGGGCTGGGACCTGGCTCCCCGGGACCCCTCCTGGGCTGGCTTCTGCAAGGGCAACTGCCATCAGAGCGAGTGCATCGATCGTCATCTGCGCACACGCAAGAGGCACGGGGGGTTTCTGGGCTCAATGAGGCGACAATAGAGGCAACAGCAACCCGTGTGGCAGAGCAGCCGGCGCCAAACCAGGACAGCGGAGCACACACGCACTCACCGTCAAGCCCAGTAGCTCCAACTGCGGCGGCCGTCGCCACTCGTCGCTCAGCTCGTTTGGGTGCTGTCACGTGGGGCCCACCAAGGGGAGGCAGAACGCCATGGATGCCGGCGGGGAGAGCGGGACTAGCGGCGACGCCTCAGCCAGCACTGGCGGCGAACCGGGGTTTCCGCGGTATGGATCGCGGGAGGCGAGGGGGAAGGCGCGGGGGTGTTGCTCGCTTGGGGGGAGCGGAGATCCAGGCACGAACAGGCCCTTGGCGGGAACGCCACGACCGCCCAGAGGTTTTGGAAGCCCCAGCCAATGGGGTCGACGCTGAGCCTGCTGAGGACATGGGGGACCCTGAGTTTATGTGTGGAGAGGAGGCGGGCCCGGAGTCCGAAGAGGTGTCTCTGGTTAACGAGGAGGATTTGGGAAGAGGCCGGAATCGAGTGCGAGGGACGGGAGAGGGAGTGGCCAGGGCGACATCCCAAGCTGAAGGAGTATCTGTGCAAGCTCCCACGGTAACCAACGAAGTGAAATCGCCGGCCACCCTGGCAGAGGATGACGCCATCTGGCAAATGGCGGGCACGTGGACTATGGATCTCCTTCAACGGATGGACCAACCCTTCCTAGTCAGACGCTTACCACCCCAAGTGCTGGACAAATTCTGTTTGTGTCTCCTCGCACCTCTCCTGCGGCTGTCGACAAACCCAGAATGCCCAGGTGCTTGGGCGGTCCTACTATACCTCCCGAGGCTGACACTTCGCCCCCCACCAGAGCCTGTCACTGGAAGTCGGTGGGCAGCGATTGAGGCTCGGTTACATCAGTTCCAGTTGGGAGAGTGGGATGGGTTGTGTCAGAATATTATAGCTTACTTATTTGTGCAGGCTATAGTGGGGTATCCCATAGGGGGTACAACCCAACTAGGGTTTCCTATTTGTACTCACTTCGTTCATAGTTCACTCATTCTCGTTCACACTTTCTCATGGAATCAGAGCAGGTCCCTTCTTAGGGCCTGTTCCTAGGGCCCACCGAAGCGCGCCCCGAGGCGCGCATTTTTTTAGCGACCCTCCGTGTCGCCCTTCTCGTCGTGCTCCCGCTTAGGCCTCACGTCGGCCCCACGTCGGCCCCGCTTAGGCCCCACGTCGGCCCCGCTTAGGCCCCTCGTCGGCCCCGCGTAGCCCCGCTCAGGCCCGTCGGCCCCGCTTCGGCCCCGCGTCGGCCCCGCGTAGCCCCGCTTAGGCCCGTCGGCCCCGCTTCGGCCCCGCTTTGGCCCCGCGTCGGCCCCGCCTATACCCCGTCGGCCCCGCGTTGGCCCCGCTTAGGCCCCACCGGTCCGCCTAGGCCCCACTACGGCCCGCCGTTGGCCCCGCTACCGCCCGCACCGGCCCCTGCTGCAGCCCGCCGCCGGCCCAGCTACAGCCCGCCGCCGGCCCACCTACAGCCCGCCGCCGGCCCTGCTACAGCCCGCCGCCGGCCCCGCTATAGCCCGCCACCGGCCCCTGCTACAGCCCGCCGCCGGCCCTGCTACAGCCCGCCCCGGCCCCGCTACAGCCCGCCGTCGGCCCGCCGCCGGCCCCGCTACAGCCCGCCACCGGCCCCTGCTACAGCCCGCCGCCGGCCCTGCTACAGCCCGCCCCGGCCCCGCTACAGCCCGCTGTCGGCCCGCCGTCGGCCCCACTACAGCCCTCCCCGCGGCCCCTGCTGCAGCCCGCCGTGCTGCACGTGAGCAGCCCCAACAGCCCGAGCCGCGCGAGCCGCCCGAGCCGCCCGAGCCGCCCGAGCCGCCCGAGCCGCTCGAGCCGCCCGAGCCGCCCGAACCGCCCGAGCCGCCCGAGCCGCCCGAGCCGCCCGAGCCGCCCGAGCCGCCCGAGCCGCCTGAGGAGCTGTGCTGCTGTTCCTGAGCTGTGTTCCTCTGCTGCTGACCTACCCGACTCTCCCAGCTCGGTGAGACTTTCAGCTGCTGCCATGGCCACCCTCAATGTTCTTACTTTTGACGCTGAGGGGAGGGCCATTGACTTTGCCGTCTGGATTGAAGACCTGCAGCTGTACTTACTGTGTGATGCGATAGATGAGGTCTCTCTCTTTGACTTTGTCTCTGGCGCTGTCCCTGCCCCACCTGCTGATGCTGACTCTGCCGTTCGCTCCAAGTGGGCGACCCGCGATGCTGCTGCACGTCTTGCTGTGCGTCGCCACCTCCCTTCCTCTGAGCGTGCCCACTTTAGTCAGTGCAAGACCGCTCAGGCCTTGTACGACGCTGTAGTTGCACGCTACTCCTCCCCTTCCTCCGCTACCCTTAGCCGCCTCATGCTACCGTTTCTCTTCCCTGACCTCGCTTCCTTTCCCACTGTCGCTGACCTCGTTACCCACCTCCGTGCTAGTGACACCCGCTACCGCGCTGCCCTTCCTGCTGAGTTCCGCGCTGCGAACCCTCCTCCCATGTACATCACTCTCTACTTTCTCGTCACCCGTCTCCCTGAGTCCCTTCGTGTCGTTAGGGACCAGTTTCTCTCTGTCTGTCCCACCACTCTCACTGTCGACCTCCTTGAGGAGTCCCTGCTAGCGGCTGAGAAGAGTATTGTCGCTGTAGGGGCCTCTCGGGGTGACCCTCGCACCCCCATCTTTGAGGGGTGTGGTCCTTCCCCCCTGCTGCCCTCTGTCGCCTCTACCGCTGCGGCCGACCTCACCGGTTTTGAGTCGGTCGGCGCGGCGTCTGCCCCCAGCGGCAGACGCCGCTCTGGCAAGGGCAAGGGGGGCAAGGGAGCGGGTGGAGCTAGAGGGGGCGGTGGAGGAGGCGGTGGGGGTGGCGGGGGGAGTGGGGGTGGCGGTGGGGGTGGTGGCGGGAGTGGAGGTACTGGTGGCGGCGGTGGAGGCGGAGGTGGCGGCGGAGGTGGTAGCGGAGGAGGCGGTGGGAGCGGTGGGAGCGACGGTCCTGGTGGGGGAGGTGGCGGTGGAGACGGGGGTGGCGGTGGAGGCGGGGGTGGCGGTGGAGGCGGGGGTCGGAGTGGCTCGTCCCAGAGGAGCAGCTCTGGGGGTGGTCAGCGCCAGCAGCAGCAGCAGCAGCAGCCGCAGCAGCAGCCACAGCAGCAGCAGCGCTCTCGCACCGTCCCCGCCCCTCAGCAGCTCCGTGAGTGGTACTTGCAGCGTCAGCGTGGTGGTGCGCTTGGTCCCTGCCCCTACGTTCTTCGCACCGGTGACCGTGCAGGGGAGAGGTGTGGAGGCGCCCACACAGCCCGCCGCTGCTTTGGCCGCCTGACCGACGCCTAGCGTCAGCAGTTTCCGGAGGCCGCTGAGATCCCCCGCTGGGGAGAGCTGTCTAGGGCTGGTGTAGCTATTTATGATCTTGATTTTGATGCTATTCTCGCTGCTATGTATGCTGTGACTGGTAGTGATGAGGATGACTGTTACCGGTGTTTCCCGCCCGACCCGGGCATTGGTACTGCCGCGTCAGGTACTAGTGAGGCTGCTGCTCTAGGTGCCAGTGCGTCTGTGCTCTCAGGTGCTGGTGAGTCTGCCCTCTCAGGTACTGTGTCGGCTTCGGCCTCTCACACCTTCACCCTTGACTCTGGAGCGTCTTGCTCCTTCTTTAGGGACCGCACCACTCTCACGCCGCTGAGTCGGCCGGTTGCAGTGTCCCTGGCTGACCCCTCTGGGGGGCCTGTCCTGGCTCGCTTCTCCACTGTCCTCCCGTGTCCGGCGGCTCCCTCTGGCACCCTGACTGGTCTCTACCTCCCCTCGTTCTCGACGAACTTGGTGAGTGGTGCTGACCTCCAGGATGCGGGTGTCCACCAGTTCACCCCTGCTCGTCAGCGGGTGACCCACTGCACGGAGGCGGATACAGGTCGCCACCTGGCTACGTTTACACGTCGGCCAGGGTCGAGCCTGTACACACTGACCACTGCTTCGGCGGTTTGCTGCAGCGTCCAGGTCTGGTCCTGAGTCTGCCCCCTGCTCGTGTCGTCGTCTGTCTCACGAGACCCTCCTCTGGCACCACCGCCTTGGCCACCCCTCTCTGCTTCGGCTCAGAGGCATGGCCTCGCGAGTCCTTGTGTCTGGTCTTCCCCGGTCTCTCCCTCCCCTTCCTCCGGGCCCTGGCCCCACCTGTGTCCCCTGTGTCGAGGGGCGCCAGCGTGCTGCCCCTCACTCCTCCCAGTTTCCTCCCACAGAGGCCCCGTTGCAGACGCTTCACATGGACGTGTGGGGCCCAGCCCGCGTCCGTGGACAGGGTCAGGAGCGCTACTTCCTGCTGGTGGTTGACGACTACTCGCGTTACACCACAGTCTTCCCCTTGCGCAGCAAGGATGAGGTCACTGAGGTGTTGATCGACTGGATCCGCGCAGCTCGTCTCCAGCTTCGGAGGAGCTTTGGCTCTGACTTCCCTGTTTTGCGTCTGCACTCGGACAGAGGCGGAGAGTTCTCCTCCGGCCTCCTGAGTGCCTACTGTCGTGCGCGAGGCATCCGTCAGACCTTCACGCTTCCGGACTCACCACAGCAGAATGGGATTGCTGAGCGCCGCATTGGCATGGTCATGGACGTCGCTCGTACGTCCATGATGCATGCGGCTGCTCCCCATTTTCTGTGGCCGTTTGCGGTCAGGTACGCTGCGCACCAGATCAACCTTCACCCCAGGGTCTCTCGACCGGAGACCTCCCCAGCCCTGCTGTGGACGGGGAAGGTTGGCGATGCGTCAGCGTTCCGGGTCTGGGGATCTCGGGCGTTTGTTCGCGACCTGTCTGCGGACAAGCTGTCCCCTCGTGCTTCTCCCTGCGTCTTCCTGGGGTTCCCCCCCGACGCCCCTGGGTGGCAGTTTTACCACCCCACCTCTCGACGTGTTCTGTCCTCTCAGGACGTCACGTTCGACGAGTCGGTACCCTACTACCGCCTCTTCCCCTACCGCACTCCGTCCCTCCCCCCACCCCCGCTCTTCTTGGTACCAGGTCCCCCCCCGGTAGTCCCCCTCCCCCCTCAGGGTCCTGCCCCTTCAGGTGTGTCCCAGGTAGACGCGGTCGAGCCTGTCGAGGTCACTGGTGACTCTGGTGCTGCTGCGGGAGCTGAGCCTGGGGGTGCGGAGTCTGGGGGTGCTGAGCCTGGGGGGGCTGAGCCTGGGGGTGCTGTGCCTGGGGGTGCTGAGCCTGGAGGTGCCGAGTCTGGGGGTGCTGAGCCTGGAGGTGATGCGCCTGGGGGTGCTGTGCCTGGGGTTGTTGAGCCTGGGGGTGCTGTGCCTGGGGGTGCTGTGTCTGGGGGTGCTGAGCCTGGAGGTGCTGTGCCTGGGGGTGCTTCGTCTCGCCGGGAGCCACTCTCCCCACAGGAGCTGCGTGAGTGGTTTGCCAGGCGCTGGAGGCGTGCTGCTGGTGCTGGTGGTTCTTCGACTGCAGAGGGTTCTGCTGCCGCGCGTCCCGCCGGTGCTCGTACTGTGGGTGCTGGAGCTGCTGGGTCTGAGAGTTCTCCTGGAGCTGGTACTGCTGAGGGTGTTGGCGCTGAGCCTGCCGTTGGCGGTCCGACTGACAGTGCTACTGGTGCTGCTGCTGGAGGTTCTGGAGCTTCTGGTGGTGCTGCTGGAGGTGCTGCTGGAGGTGCTGCTGGAGTGGGTGCTCCTGCCGGGGCTGCTGGTGCTGTTCCTGCTGTTTCTAGCGTCGCCGCGCGGCCCCGACCGTACTTCGTTCCGCTCCTGCAGTAGGTTCTTGGTCTTACACCTCCTCCTCCTCCCTTAGAGGGTCCGCAGCCTGTCCGGTCACAGCCACAGCTACAGCCTGCCTCCC